AACTAAGCGGTATATTTCAGTTTCCTATTTCTAAAGCATTAAGGTATCATGCAGATGAAACTCTAAACACAACCTCCAGTCCGGCTCACAGCCACTCCCACGAAATTCTTTTTAAAAGATTCCTTCTGGTAAATTACGAATAAAAGAATATACATCCTGAAAAATGAATAAGTAAAAATCCACAACCACCCGGTAAACGGAGTACTGGTTTTTCAAGAACGATCCATGAGTCAACTCTACGTGAATTCCCAGGTCACGATATCGTTTTTCCCCACTTGGGGAGACCGCACGCCATCTTTTACAGCTCGCCTCGTTTTGAAGTATGCGTGAAAGCAGCCTCCTTTTCCAGTTGCTAAACTCAATCTCAACGTCAGATGCTTCACCTGGGAGACTCCAGTATCTCCGAGTGGGACCAAATAAGGCAAATGCAGGTGAAGTTTAATTTATGGAAGTGGAGACACCGTGCTTTTTAGCACTGACCTGCTTCCGAAGACATCTCTCATTCCATTCACTCCACGTCGGATTCTGGGACAACATCCTGTCCACTTAGAACTGTGAGCCTTCAGACTGACTCATATCTAACCCAGTGAGGCGACTCTAAAGGTTGTTTACAAATAACAATGGAGTTAACGCCGGTTACGTATTCTCAGGCCGTCTGGGTACAGTATCGGTGACACACCCCACAGCTACAGTTCTGCATCCAGTCCCTTTCATACTGGGCCTTTGGGAAAGATGACTCAGACAAACCAAAGCTTTCAGAAATTAAAGCGAGCCAAACTCCTGGCTCTCCATTGTCGCACACGGTACCCACGGAACACACGGGCTGTTTGGTTTCATTTTAGACTCAAGTCCCCACTCCTCCCGGTTAGCGCCACTGCACATCCCCCAGGATTACGATTTGTTTAGAATGCTAATGGGATCTGAAAGTTTCAGTAAATTCAAACCCGGCAAGTTCAAGACGAAGTCCTGCTAACGAAGGAAGAAAACTACCCCACATGCTACGTTTGTATCTTAGCACCTCCAAATTCTAAGGCCATTACCCAAATACGTGAGCCTTGCTCAGAGCTCAGTCTCTCCCAGGGCCCATTCATGATGGCATGGCTGTCTCTTGTGAAACCAAAGATGTCCTCTGCGGTAACTCAACTCTCAGCCCCAGGCGCCCCCACCCCCACCCGACACACACACACACACCCCAGCTCCCCTCAACTCATTCCAATTCTACCAAGAGGGGAAAAAATCTGGATTCACGCGGAGGGGCATGTGGCATGTTTAATACTGGCCGGTTTCTGTAAATACAAATAACAGCTATTTCGACGCCACAATCAAAGAATGCAAGAAAAAATGAAGAACAAACAAATGATAAAATGGGCTTTTCACGCGGCCAGGCAAAGTAGCCTATCAAGCGGCATGCACGCCCCATTCCTCACGGCGGCACTTGGCATTCCTCAACCGAAATACTCCAATCATATTAATAGGGCGGCTCGAAAAATAATCTGGAGACTACTGGGGGCCGGGCCACCTCTGCCTCCACTCCGGTCAGTTCAACGGTATTTATTACGCAGCCACAGGGGGGAGGTACTCCAATTCTTAAATCATCTTTAATCAGGATGGGAGGCTTAACGGCAGGTTCACGGGGAAAATGCGCGTTTAAGACCACCGTCTAAAGTTCCTTTTGTGACCTGCATTTAGGTCGGCGCAGTGCGCGGCAAGGGTCCCGCAGCCCTGCCCTTTGTTACGCAGTGGACCCCGCCGGCAGGCCCGGCCCACGCCCAGGGGCCCC